TTTACGTATATTTGTTGGGGAGTTGACAAATCATGCATATGCATGCGGCAATATGTTTGTGCATGCATGAGGTGTGTACGCACTTGAAAGTATGGTTGCATAGGTACTTTAACGTCAAATCGGTTTAGGGCCAGCGTAGAGGCAAAGTTCAATTTGCCTTTTGGTTTTATAATCCGTGAAGTTGTTTCGAAATGGAACCAATGCAGGCATTTCTTATCATTTGTACGCACACGCACATTAATAACTTGTATGAACGTCTTTTTGTGATACCCGAAAGCGCTAAAAGTATAAAATAAAACCGCCCACTTAATTTCATATTACGATGTTGCTGCGCTTCAGGTATTAAGTGATATGAATATTGCATATTCCATGATCCATAAAGAAGACGCTCTCGAAAACACAGCCTCATGGCGGCGAGCTCCTTTGGCCAGTTAACTGAGGCTCAGCGGCTCTGGGACGGCTCCCGCAGCCATTATCTGGCGATATTGGACTGGCGGCGAAGGCGGTCGGCGGCGCGTCGCCGCACCGGGCGGCCGGGACGATTGTCTTTCGGCAGTGCCGCTGCGGCTGCGGCTCTCTGATGATCGATACGGCTCGGAGGAGTGACGCCCGTCAGGACCGCCGCCGTGCCCGAGAGGCCGCCAGCGCGCACAGCCCGCGGCCGAGCGGCGGAGCGGCCAGCGAAAACAGGCCGACATCATTATCGCAACAGTAGGCCAAACACGGCGCCGTCCGGCCTACAGATGTGCGGGATATTGCGGCCCGGCCAGAGACAATAGCAATAACAGACAGAGGTAGTTGGGAAAGCCGTGGGCACTGTTTGAACAAGCCGTTTGAGTAAACAAAATATGTGGGACACAATGTTCGTCAGAGAGAATGAAAATGTGCAGTTGTACTGCAAATACAGCGACAGTATTGAGCTGCCAGATTGCTCGACCCCCATCACATCCAGGACATCTTTTGGAAAAATATGTTTTGCTCTGTTTCGTTAAAAATATGCTTTTTAATGTTTTGCCACATGCATGTAGCTACCACGGTACATCACAGCTCGGTGATCGAAATACACGCAATGGGCATTCGTTCACTATTCCCCTGAGCTTCTGCCCCGAGCCGGACGTCTAGTTTCTGACCCGTGGTGGCTGATCCGGCCGTCCAATTCCCTGTCACTCATGCGTGTCCCTGTGGCCATCGACCGTAGGACATGACACGCGCCGGCGGCCGCCCTCTGACCCATCCGATTCCCTCACCCCTGACCTCATCAGCGGTGACCTGATCAGGACTGACACACAGCCACGAGCAGTGTTCCTGACTGTTAATCACCAATATGACAAAAATTGGACGTTATGTTCGTTACGTTATAAAGCACTGGTTGACCTTATCTTCTTAACACTCATCATCAAGCCCTGCACTGCTCCTATAAATTATTGTTAAAATATATGCACTCCAACACTGAGTAAGGCCAAAAGTTAGCTACGGTCCATAGTTAGGAGTACCAAGACCGCATGCTAAAATCGTAGGTAAACTTTGAATGTCACTAGTGAGAATTCTAGGAAATGTCGTATCGCAGAGGTCAGATGTTGGTGCGCCTTCGTTGGCATTCCAGCTATACAATCTGGTGACATGTTTCTTCCAGACAAAGTTGGTATAAGGTTATAAAATCACTAAGTGAAATGCTAATAATTTGGGAAATCATCAAAACTGAACATTCCAGGTATACCACACATATGTCGATAAAGCGAGGGTCGATAACTTATGTGGAACCATTATGCTTATTATTATTATGCATACCAAGTACTCACAAGTCTACAATAAGCAATCAAGCAAACAGCTTCATAAACTTCTAAAACTCGCTAAATTGCCTTTGCCCGGAATGCATTTGCGATTAAGAATTGCAGGCAGTCATTCCTGGGATATAAAAGCATGAGCGAAACGCCACTCGCCCTGAGCTTCCTGGAAGCTTCCCAAGTCACAAAAGTAACTTCAGTGCAGAGTCACAAGTCTTACTTCATCGATACAATAGTCCAAATGTCACTCGTCTTCACCGGGACGACAACAGAACTTTGTCGAAGACAGCTGAGCGCTCCCGGAGATCTGGCCGACACCGATCACATAATGACCACAATGACAATGGTTTTAGGTTTTGTACTTCGATGGGTTTGCAAAATCAAAGTAAACTGCCAAAGCCAACACCCGATAGTTTTAGCGCTGTCTTGTGACGGTTTTGAAATTATATCTACTCACTTGAATGTGTCCCGAAATACCTTTCCTGTTCTGTCCCGTTTATGCTTATGCTTACAAAAAAAGAAATAATGAATCCCAATATCTGAATCGTCTAGAGTAGGCACAACCCAGGGCACAACCGTCGCCGAGAGTTGCGCATGAGGATGGGGAACTCGTGACAAATGTGGCCATTCCTGAGAGGTGAAGTTCTCCATGTCTATTAGATTGGCGGCAATTCCCGCGTTCATTAGCCGCGGGCGGCCGGCCACTGACCGGGACGGCAATCAATTCTCGTTCGACACGCGGCCGATAGGGGTGGGCGGGCTGCCAGTCCAGCCCAGTCGCTGTCACGGTCAGAGGGCGTGGAAACAGCACCGCAGGGAGCAGACGAGGATATAACTCCGCGGGGAGGAGGGGATATCACTTCAGGGAGAAGACGAGGATACAACTCACGAGGATACAGCTCCACGGGGAGGAGGGGATATCACTTCAGGGAGAAGACGAGGATACAACTCACGAGGATACAGCTCCACGGGGAGGAGGGGATATAACTTCAGGGAGAAGACGAGGATACAACTCACGAGGACACAGCTCCACAGGGAGCGGACGAGGATATAACTCCGCGGGGAGGAGGGGATATCACTTCAGGGGGAAGACGAGGATACAACTCACGAGGACACAGCTCCACAGGGAGCGGACGAGGATATAACTCCGCGGGGAGGAGGGGGATATCACTTCAGGGGGAAGACGAGGATACAGCTCCAAAGGGAAGAAGGGGATACAGGTCCACAGAGAAGACAAGAGTACAGCTTCACGTGCAGCCCCACAGGGGAAGATTGAGGGATAGCTCCCTGGGGAAGACAAGGATACAACTCCACGGGAAGACAGGAATACGGCTTCACGGAGAGGACAGAGGAACAGCCCCACAGGGAATATGGAGGGACAGTCCCACAGGGAAGATAGAGGGACAACTCCATGGATAACACGGGGACACAGCTCGGCAGATAATATATATTGCTCCATTGATAAGACGGGGATACAGACTACAGCTTCACGGGGAAGACGGGATATAAGTTCGGGATAATAAAATAGAGAGGCAGCTCCGTGGATAAGACGGGGAGATGGCTGCGCAGGGAAGACGAGGATACAGCTCCACAGAGAAGATAGAGGGACGTCTCCATGGGGAAGAAGGAGATACAGCTCCACGGGAAAGACGGGGATACAGTTCCAAGGGGAAGATGGGGATACAACTCACGAGGATACAGCTCCACTGGGAAGACGGGGGTAGGGAAAGAAGGGGATTCAGCTCCAAGGGAAAATAGTATGCAGCTTCGCAGAGAAGACAGAAATACAGCACGACCACGGGACCTTGGAAGAGCCGGGTGGACTGACGGGAGACACACATCTATCTTTGACTGAGTGACTCCTCTTCAAGTAAAGACAGTTGGACCTGAGCAGGGGTGCTGCACTACGGTTGGCAATATTATGCCTCATATGTCTTTGGTTCTGCAGTGGGTCCCGCACGAACCGTCACTGACAGACCCCGCCTCTGACCTTCTGACGGTCCACGGAGTGACCCGTGTGACCTCTGCTTGGTCTGATAATCTACAGCAGCCCAGCAGGCAGTGACCGCAACAGCGGCGGGTCAGTAACCATTCACTACGTCTCCCGCCTCGTCTCGCCCGCGCCAGCGTTCGATACGGAGCGGCCCATTGCTGATTTACCGAGTTAAGGCCTCTCAATCCTGTTGCAGCGACGTAGCCTGGCCCGCGGAGTGACCGGAACTGGGCGGATCGGTCCGGATCAGACCGGCGCCAGCACGGCTAGTCGGAGGCATCGGGTGGGAAAGGCACGGCAAATGGCCACGGATAGACTGTCTTTCCTGTCGTAAATACCTAGCCAATGCGCTGAATTAACTAATAAGCCAACGAGCATTATTATACGGGTGAAAGTTGTCAAACATTGCTTAGCATTTTTGTTTGAAGTAGGCATATTGGGCTAATCCGTAATAAGTAAAATGTAAAAAGATAAAATGATTAATCGATAACATATAGTGCCTACGTATCTGTCATCGATGTCTTGGGCTTTGTGTATTCCATCATTGAATAGCTGGTTCCTGAAAATATAATTGTGATCGACCACATCGATTTCTTTTCCATTTTATCATATCTACCAAATGGCCCGATATGGATAGTTCGGTAGATGGTGCCGACACTAATCTAACTAAAATCTCTGATCGCAGACAACACAACTACATAGGTACAGAAAAAGCTAGCTTATCTTTGAACCTTTCACAACAGAAAATGCAAGTAACATTTGTGAATTTTCTTCAAACGTAAATGACATAGCTTTTACGACATCAAAAGCACCGAATTCAGCGAATTATCGAGTGCCACTAATGCGATGTCATCATAAATTTAAGTTCATAAGGTTCTTTCGTCCAGCTGCTCATTCCCACGAAAACAAGAACAACGCGCACTTTGTGCCACGTCAAATGGAAACTCAAATTAGACGCATTAAAGGATTTTGCAAATGACATTAATGCTTGCAAATCAATAGTAGGACACTATAAAATATCGCCAGTCCTGTTCACAAAAGCTTCAAAGCTTCAATGCACTTCTCGATACTTGCATAGAGCTTTATTGAACAATTCCGCCCCACTAAGCCGAAACATTACCTACATATTATAGCAGTAGAGGGATAACTAGCCAGAGGAAAGAGAAGCAGATCAGTTATTTTCATATTCAAAGGTGAAAAGAGAAAGGAGTGGTTTCACTTACTGGTGACGGCGCTCATTGGGTTGAACATTCCGAACATTGCTGGCGTTTTGTGGCCGACGGTCGGCTGCCGGTAGCTTCACAGGTTCGCAGGGCGACTCGAGACGGTGCTGCTGTTGAGGTGCTGGCGGCCAGCAAAGGGCGGCCAGAAAGAGCTGTCTGGACTGGAATCGGTCGCAGAGGAAGATAGGAAAATGAAGTGGAACGAGAGGGTGAGTGGGCAAGACGCAGAGATGTGGTTCAAGAGAAAGGAGAGATAGGAGGCCGAAATGTGTCACTGCATCCTTTCCTCAAACCTGAAAGCAGAGGAAATGGCATGCGAGTGCAACTAGCCAGCATCCAAAATACTCAACGATAAGCCAACGAAGAGACGTGGTGTTTGCCGTCAAAGAAATATTCGAGCAAGTTTTTAACACCTCTCAAGTTTCCATGCTTATCTAGGTTCTCCAGATGTGTACGGTAATTAGTTAATAGTTATACCTAGTAAAAATATCCTGGACACTCAGGAACGAGCAATAATAATTGCGACCAATCAATAGCTTCGGTAATGTTATGATGTTATAAGCAAGCGCATACCTAAGCAATAGCATGTAGTTTATTGTACTTGTCGAACATATTTCTTGAAGAAAAGCAAGCTCCACTGAGAATGCTCCCGTTACCATTTAACCCTATTCCTGGCGGGCTCCGCCGGGACAAGAAACTGGCGGGGGGGGGGGGCCGATTCGGCCCCCCCTGAGATCTCGAGAACGAAGCAAGATAGCGACAAGCGGTAAACGGTATCGGATACGCACGGCCAAGATCTACAATTTTTACAAAGGTCATTTTCAGGTCAGGTCAAAGATGACGTCACAGGGGTCGAAAAAGTCAAAATGGCGGCGCTAGATATGGAGAGAGTTTTTCTCGAATAACTTTCGAATTAGTCAAGATAGGAACAAACTAAGGGCATCATCGTGATCCTCTCGTCAATCCGCATCGAATGATATATATGTTGACCTCGAAAGGTCAAGGTCAAAGGTTGACCTCAGGTCACGTGACCTCGAGGTCATCATGTATATCATTCGATGCGTCTTGACGAGCTGAACACAATGAGACCATCCACGCGTCTGTATCTTGTTCCTGTACGGAGTTATTGGCCAAAAACCTTTGGTGACCTTTGATGACGTCACATGACCTCACAGCTGCCCAACAGCAAAACAGACCTCAAGGTAGTGAAGGTTGATCGTATATGAAGTCATGTATGGTATATGGGGCCATTCCGACCCGTTTTAGTGGTAAAAACAGGGAGTTGATTTTTCCCCCATTGACTTAAAATGAGGAGGTCGCGAAATTGACCTGACCTTAGGTCACCGATATCAAAATTCCGAGATATACAAATTGCACATACTGGTACCCTAACTAAACCCTGAAGAGAAGAAATTGATCGGTCAAAAACTCTAGCTCTGGCGTGATTGCAAACTTTTCTGAGGTAGGGTCACCAAACCGCCTCTGGTGACCTGACCTGAGGTCAGATCAACTCAAAATTTTCAGACATGTTGCGTAGAAGCCTTTTAGGAAAAGTCAGAAAATTTGAGCTTCCTAGCTCAACGCGTTTGGGAGAAATAGCCAAAAAACCTCAGGGGGGGGCTCCTGAGGCCCCCCCCCCCCGCCAGGAATAGGGTTAAGATCTAGTTTAACTTTTATTTAACTCACAATGGTCACGACAAGAGCGTAAATCGTAAATCACGCTCAGCCTGGCTTTGACCTATTACATTGGATGATACATTACCCTCCACTTGAAGTGTTTTATTATGACCGATGATCACATATATACAGATGGGATTGTGTGTTTCTACAGCACTCATGCGAGTAATAGCGACCACGAGTGTATCTATTGCACGATTTCACCGTCCATATATGATATCGACGGAGCAGATAAGCTTAGTTTGATTACAATTTTACCGACTATAAGCCTGCCAAGTTTTGATCCGACAACAGACACTTTTTATTAACGCTGTACATTGCCTTAATTAATTGCTTGGCACGTCACGAAAAGTTAAGAGGATCGAAAGAGGCGTTTTCATGCATGCCTAAAAGCGATTAGGAACTGAGGAAAATTCCTATTAGATATCTCTACTTGCCAGGCCTTGATCAAACTTTTTTCATCCCCTTCAAAGAAAATGTTGCTAAGTCATAGAATGATGGTGTTTGTACATACTTCGTCGTCCCTACCGGTTGTGACACTACATGGCATGTAATGTCACAACTGGTCTGTCACGGTCACGGTCAAAGTTGACATTGTCAACTTTACCTGTGTTCAAAAATGTAAGTCTCTGGACCTACTGTATAATGAGGCTGAGGAATAGTATTTCCTGATCAAGGCGATTAACAGATTTTCAATACGGAAACAGTTCTTACGCTCTTTAATGCTCCCTTTATAGTGTAAATGCCTTATGAAAGCATGCATGAGCGCCCTAGCCGCAATCACCTCGTTGGTCGTTCTTGGTCAATAAGCTATTCTGGCACCACTATTACCAAAGCCAATAGTCATTTACCACCACAACCACCACCACCACCACCAGCCCTAACGGCACCACAGCAACCACCAGCAGCAACCCCCACCTTCCCTCTGCCTCCGCCGCTGCACTGTGCCCTTGACAGCCAGACGCGCGCCCCCAGCTGCCCGCCGCGCCACAAGTGTGTCCCAGTCTGTGTCTGTCACGGTCGGACGCCCCGCGCCCGTCGCAAGGTCGGAATGATCAGACCTGAATGCGGCCCCCAGAGGGGAGGGGAGGGGAGCGCCAGGGAGCACCGAGTGGCACCATACATCAGAGCTGGTCCGCCACGGCCGGCGGTGGGGGACGGGGCCACAATCTAACCAGCAATCGACGCGACGGAAAGGGAGGTGGGAACTGAGCAACAAAAGACGGCGGCAGAGGCGGAATGGGGATGGTGGAGGAAGGTGACCCAAGAATGATCTAGAAGTGAAAAATAGGTGAGCCATTCTCCGAAGACGATCTAGTTAGATAATCAAGAGGAAATTCAGGTGACACATGTGTCATAAATGATCCAGGTTTGCAGTTACTCGAAGGTGACTCAAAGTTGATTGAAAGGTAACCCAAGTTGGTTACTCAGAGGTAACCCAGGACAGAGGTAGCCTATTGGTACGTGACCCAAGAGTGACCCGAGACGACCGACGGCGTAACCGTTCCGTCGTTACGGTTGGAACCGTAACCGTTCCGTCGTTACGGCTCGAAACAGCGCGGTTTACGGGATGAAGTCGCTAGCTGGTGAAGCGAGTAACGCGACTCGCGACGGAAATGGATAGGTTGCGACGATAACAATAGCGTCGAACGACGATGTGACAGTCAATGATCGACACCCGCAGAACAGGGAAGTCGGATGGTGAGTTGTTCCGACTGGAGGTCTTCATTTCCGCTCAGTTCTGGGAAGCGGGAGCATCGGGTGTTTTGTGGAACCATTTCAATTTTGTCGACAGAGCGCGTCACGCCGCCCAATTCTCGCTAAGATGTCGTCGCATGAGCTGCAGCATCAGCCGGCAGATAGGATTACTGTGCAGATGATGAGCTGAATATTAGAAACCCTTCTCTGAGCTCGCTTCGAAATAGTCAGATGTATGCATCGATTCATAATGAAATAAAATGCATGCCGATGAATTGGTTTTGACAGGGTAGGTACTGCAGCTGCATCTAACTTGAAAAAGTACCCAGCATAAGTATGCATGTAGCTGCTCTCGCCGCCACCGTTAAACGGCGGCCGATAAGACGGTCATTCAAAAAACAATGACTGGTCATGGAATAGCTGACACTGTTAGCTTATAGAAAATTTCATCTTGCCCCAGTGATTGAGATTGATGATAGGCTAAACATTTTTGCATTGAATTTTGAGTTCATTTGTAATAAATGTTTACACTTTATACATAGACAAAATAACATTGGCCGATTCAGAAATGTGGTTGAGTAGTTGCTGATTAGTTGATTAGATGGTTGCGGGAGGACGATGCAATTATGTATTCTTGAATTTCAGACTCTGCGGGCGGGAGAGGCATTTGGAACAAATGCCATTATCTCTGGACCCACCAGAGTACGGGAATTTTGCTCTAAATATTTAGGTTTTGCGCCGTTCCGTATGTGTGCGCCTTCAACATTCTGACGGCATTAGAGACCGACTTTGTTGTGATAACGGCCGGGATTACCCATTCGATCGCCCACAGAAGCCAATAAGGGATTGTTTTCGGGACAAATTAGGTCGTAAACTGGCCTACATACTCTATTCGGGACCGAAGTGAAGTTAACTCAGGTGCAATCTGACCTAGCCCTAATATCCGGATGCACGTTCTCGGCAGAGTTCAATCGAGGATCAACGAGCTAGCAATGAAAGACAGCGCTATCCAATATCCACGGCTGTGTATGGGTGTTTTCTTGCGTGCTTCCGCAGATGTAATGGCATGCTTCTTAGATATGCTGCTCAGACATATGCCAGACTTCACTAACCTTCATAGATTCGTCGGATGAAGCTGAACATCTATTCACTGTATAGCAATGCCGAGCAGTAGGACTTGCCTATTATACATTTTCCAGAAATCTGCTTGAAAGTACCGACTTTTTCCTTATAATGCGTCAAGTATCGACTATCGTATACACATTCCGTCATCAGCTGACTTATATGTCTAAAGCCCGTGGCGGTGAAGACCGTACTTCTAGATTGTTCTTGCAGTGTTTTACATAGTTTCAGGTATACATATACTGCGTCTGGCGCACTTCATTTTTCATTCATTTTTCCGGTGTGAAATAATCGCGAAATGTTCACCCCGGTGTTCACGGGGTGAGGCCCAAGGAGCTCAAACACTGGAAAACGAATCGAGTAACTGCAGGTTTGTGTGTGAGATCTCATTGAATTGGTTCAACGTGTAATTGTTGAACACGGCTATAGCCCGGTTCGACACAAGACTGTGGAAGAGAAAAAGTGCCTCGACAGGGAGCAATAAAGATCAAAATGCAAAACAAATTATGAAGTTTACACTTAAGCATTGCTGCATTTTTTAAGGCTTCCATGTAGCGATTGTAAGTGACTTAACCCTATTAGGGGTAGGGGGGGGTTGTTTTCATCCACCCCTCAGGTTTTTCGGGAATATCTCCGAAACCGGTGAAGCTACGATGCTGAAATTTTCTGACTTTTCCTAAAACTAAATTGGGCACATTCTTTGAAAATTTCAAGTTCATACCTTTACCAGGGGCGGCTCCAGAGCACTGGGAATTGGGGGGTCCTATTCGTGAAGCGAGTCATTTGGGCGAAGATCACGATAATGATGTATTATAACTGTATACACCAGTTTTACGAACAGTGAATGAAAGGTATCATGTGATAACATATACAAAGTTATTGTGCATCCTCTTTTGACACGTTTTTGCTATAATAGGCGGATCCAGGCGTCCAAAAAGGGGGGTTATATCATCTCCCAACATAGGTGCCCTGACACCACCTATGCATGACCAATACAATTGTAGTCGTTCTCTCATAAGAAAATTGTAACATAACCAGACCATTGCCACCCTTTTTAGAAACAGTACCAACAAAAACCTTATTTACTATACTTTTTGTGTACCCCCAATCTCAATGCTCTGTATCCGCCTATGATTTTTGAAAATGCATATTTTTAGGATCCATGTGAATTCCTGGTTCATTCTCTATCGATCGGCAAAAGTTGCGTTAAGATTGGTTCAGAAACCTGGCCGTGATAAACAGTCTGAAATGTATCTGCAATTTGCCCGTTTTTACCCCCCTCTACCCCCCTATTGACATTTTTTTTAATTTTTATTTTTTAGAAATGTAGATCACGTTGAGCGAAATCGAATGCCGTTTGAATTTTGAAAATCGGCCCGTTAGATCTCGAGATATCAAGCGGGGGTCGTAAACAGCCCCCCCCCCCCTGCCACTAATAGGGGTAGCCAGGAGCCTGCCACTAATAGGGTTAACATTTCGTTTCCATCAGATAAATGATCCACATATGCTGTGGATTTTGAAATGATCTCATTGATTTAGTCAAAAACGGTCAAATGTTTATCCCGGCAGGCGGTGGGCCTACCAGCCACCTTCCGCGCGGTGGGGGGGGGGGGCACTTTTTTGCCCCCCCCCCCCCGTATCTCCGAAACTACTGGACGGATCCGGAACATTCAAACGGTGTTCGATAGCCCTGTCAAATTTGTCGAGGGAAACCAAATTTCATTGACCTCAGGGTCACCGATGACGTCACAGGTCAGATCAAAGATAAAATGTTTCACCGTTTACGGGGCTTCTAGGGAAAGCGCTATAACACCGAGTAAAACGCATTTTGTCGAAAATCAGCGATAAGGCGTCAGTTGTCTAGTAGGGTAGCCTGGGGCAAGACGCCCCAGATAATTTATTTTTCTGCATAACTTCTGTCCCACATCACCTAGAAGGCCAAATTTGTGCTCAATGCGCTCTTTGGACATTTTACTTTAAATTCCACTCCTCAAATTCATTCACTTATGATCAGACTCCTAGCTAGAAAGTGATTTGTAAAGCAACTGCAAATGGGGCATTTTGCCCCAACCCCAGGGCAAAACGCCCCACGACCTGGGGCAAGAAGCCCCATACTCTAGATTAAAGATTACACATGCTAGTTGACTTAAATCTTATATGAGAGGTCTGTTAGACCTTGGGAAGCATGGCACTGAAGTTAGCTTCTTCTATCCTATCAGGTGTTCAGCTATGACACTATTGTACGAGCAGGTTTTTCACCTGCCTCATAAGGCCAAATAATAAATTATTGCAATGGAAATGTTAACAAAATACTTCCTTTGCCATCCAGTTGCTGAGAAAAGTACATATAAATGCATAGAAACTTACTGTTAGCCAGCTACCGAACATTAGCAAGTGGGTAGTCCGAACAACACATGAGGTAAAACGCCTCAGGGGGCGTTTTGCCCCGCGACCTACTGGGGCGTTTTACCCCATCACGTAGTTCGGTCAGAGAACAACGCCTTGCACTCCAGCAAGGCATAATTTAACGCGAACCAACCCGGCATTATAAGCGTTAGATGAAGTTGCTCAAAATACATAAAAGTCGTTAACCTGATGTGGACCATAAAAGAACGCCATGATGCAAAAGCTGACAACAAAACATAAAAATCACTACAAAAACACATTTTTGGCTATATCTCCCTAAAGAGTCATCACAATTTCTTTCCAGTCTGCTCATATAATGATCATATAGTGCACGTTTTATAGAAGAGATGATGCTTCTCCAGAACCTTGCCAGTTCCGAGAAACATCGGTGAGGCGTTTTACCTCGGCGGGGCGACTTGCCCCGGTCTACCCTACATATGTTGCTATTAGAGGTCACTGGTCATACCAGGTCAGGTCACAGGTCAGGTCACCAAAAGGTCACCAAGGGTCACCACATGAGCCCAACTTTACTAAGGTTATGCAATGCATGTTTTATGGCCAGTTTTTCATTTCCAACTCAATGGTGTTGGTTACAAGACCATCAGGTACGGTTTAGGTCACTTTCTGGTGGAGGTCAGGTCAAGGTCAGGTCAAAAAAGGTCAAATTTCAAAGTTGATATTTTTGCATAAAATGGGTATTGATTCGATGCAGCTCGTCATGGGG